GTAACTTTGAACAGTCACTAAATGAACTGCTGTAAGTCAAGGACCACCTGTATCTATTCCTGTACTGTTTTGCTGAGTTCTCAGTTTTTGCTGGCTGACTTCATAAAAACCCAAGAAGCTAAATGTTATGTCTGTATATGGGCATCCCCGCCGGATTGGCTAGTCCACCGGCGGGAGATTTGAAGATCTGTCATTGGCCGGCTTGCCTGCCGACTCCCTTTATAAGGAGAGCCCGGCAGCACAGTCGGCTGTTCTGATTCCCTTAATAAAAGTGTTGAACGGATCACTCACTGCTCGCGTATTGTTTTCCCTGCGCCAATCTAACACTAAATCTTCTATAGAATCTACTAAGTAGATTTCTACTGTTTTCTACTAAGTTTTCTACTAAGCCATTCTCCCCAAAGCCATTTTTAGTTGTTCTTAAAAACTTTTTTTCACTTAACGTTGTGCAAAGAGAGACTTTTTCTTGTCTTGTCTCAGATACTTCAGGAGCCATTACAGCTAAGTGATTACGGTTGTGTGCAATTGTATTTGCCTTGTTTCTAAAGTAGTAAAATTCTTCTGTCATCAGATACAAGGAGGGCCAAAACCTTTTCTTGATTGTATTATTTGCCATTCAAGCCTTTTCCAATTCAGTACATGTCAAAAGTAACTTAACTCTTTGCAAACAATCAATAGAATTGATTTGTTTAATGGTCCTTATGAACAATGGCGTCAAGCCAGACGATAAGTGATCTTTGTCTAGGAGGGCTGAGAGCAACTTGTGACCTGTAACGCTGAACATGCTAAAATGCCGGCAGGGCTATAAATGAAGAGATTTATTAGAATGCATATATCTCAGATGAAATGACATTTCAGCTGACAAATAGCAACAAGAGAGAAAAACTTTGCAGACAGGAACTCCACTGTGGGAAGTACCTAGTTTTAAATGCCACGGAAAAGAGGAGTATTTTCATTTTGTGCCAAAAATGTACAGCCTAAGGAAATTCTTGTATTGGTGCTCCAGTGTATTTGTAGTATACAATCTGACAACTACTCTTAATCTTTCACATGGAGGGAGGGGTAATATGTCCAGAAGGACATGTGCAAAATTTTAACACATTAGATTACAGATTTTGCAAAAGAAGACAACAACAATGTAAGTGATCAAATTAAATCTGTTTTTGTAAATCTGCAGAGGTCTCTTACAAAGACTGATATGAAACATTTTTTGTACTGGGTCAAGGTGGCATTGTAAAGGTTTACCATCTTTACCTCACTATTCTTGTTACCAACACATTGCATTTAATTCTTTGCAGGCTTCGATATAGCAACTAAATACATTGTCATTTCCAGGGTGGTGCTTGGCACTTTTGAAGATCCTTTAATATTAATATAAAACAAAACTTCTAATCTATTTGATAGGTTTTGCCTCTTGTACAATGTTGTCTTTCAAGATTACACATATTATGACAGTATTATCTTTTTCATAGAATATTATTTATCAAATTTATATGGCCTCCCATTTCACATGACTCTGGTGATGGTGGGAGAATTGTACTTTCAGACTTACAAGATTGATGTCATCTTTAGCAGGTAAACCAGATAGGAAGCTCAGCCAAACATGCTTGCTCATGTTTGTGTCAGAAGCACTGAAGTGCTTCCGGGTTGAAATAATTAATTGGTGATATTATCATTGTCTGGGGGCTCCTGACTGGAGGCTCCTTTCATGCCCCTGTTAATGTACGCACTGAAGTGATTCTATTTATTTACTTGCAAATAAGTCCCCTAATCATCTTTATTGCTCTTCTCTGCACTCTTTCTAGAGTCTCAACATAGTTTTTACATCGTGGTGACCAAAATTGGATGCAGTATTCCAAGTGTGACCTTACCAAGGCATTATAAAGTGGTATTAACACTTCACGTGATCTTGATTCTATCCCTCTGTTTATGCAGCCTAGACCTGTGTAAATAGAGGGATAGAATCAAGATCATGTGAAGTGTTAATACAGGGGTGAAATGCTCCCGGTTCGGACCGGATCGCCAATCCAGTAGCGATGATGGCGGGTGGTTCGGAGAACCGGTAGCCGAAATCCCTGCACCCCCATGCCCAGTTGAGCCGCGCAATCATCAGAGGCTTTTTTTTTTACTTTTAAAAGCATTTTTTCTTCTGCCGAAAAAATGCTTTTAAAAGTAAAAAAAAAAAGAAAGCCTCTGATGATCATACGGCTTAACTGGGATCGTCAGAGCCTTTTAAAAGCATGTTTTCTACAACCTCTCTGGCCGAAGAGGTTGTAAAAAAATGCTTTTAAAAGGCTCTGATGATTCCAGCTGAGTTGCCTGATTGTCAGAGGCTTTTTTTTTTACTTTTAAAAGCAAAAAAAAAATCCCTTTAAAAGAAAACAAAAGCCTCTGACGATCAGGCAACTCAGCTGGGATTGTCAGAGCCTTTTAAAAGCATTTTTTTTTTACAATCTCTTCATCTGAAGAGGTTGTAGAAAAAATGCTTTTAAAAGTAAAAAAAAAAAAAGTTGGCCACGCCCACCCAGTCACATCCCCCCCCCCCCCCAAGCCATGCCCACAGAACTGGTAGTAACAAATTTTACATTTCACCACTGTGTTAATACCACTTTATAATGCCTTGGTAAGGCCACACTTGGAATACTGCATCTGGTTTTGGTTGCCACGATGTAAAAAAGATGAGATGTTAGAAAGAGTGCAGAGAAGAGCAACAAAGATGATTAGGGGACTGGAGGCTAAAACATATAAAGAACAGTTGCTAGAATTGGGTATGTCTATTGAATGACACCTTTAGTATCCAGTGAGAAGAGACTCACTGGAGAAGAGCCTAATGCTGGGAAAGATTGAGGGCAAAAGAAGAAAGGGACAACAGAGAACGAGGTGGCTGGATGGAGTCACTGAAGCAGTAGGTGTGAGCTTAAATGGACTCCAGCGGATGGTAGAGGACAGGAAGGCCTGGAGGAATGTTGTCCATGAGGTCATGATGGGTCAGACACGACTTTGCAATTAACAACAACAACAATTTAATGAAAAGAAGGACTAGGGGTGGCATGATAGCAGTGTTCCAATATCTCAGGGGCTGCCATAAAGAAGAGGGAGTCAAGCTATTCTCCAAAGCATCTGAGGGCAGGACAAGAAGCAATGGGTGGAAACTAATCAAGGAGAGAAGCAACTTAGAACTAAGGAGAAATTTCCTGACAGTGAGAACAATTAATCAATGGAACAACTTGCTTCCAGAAGTTGTGGATGCTCCAACACTGGAAGTTTTTAAGAAGAGACTGGATAACCATTTGTCTGAAATGGTATAGGGTTTCCTGCCTAAGCAGGGGGTTGGACTAGAACAGGGGTCCCCAATCTTTCGGACCTCAGGGACCACTAAATTCATAATTTTAAATCCTGCAGACCACTAATATGATCTGCCTACTCACCGGCTGGCTGGGTGTGGCTAGGTGGTCATGTGACTGGGTGGGCATGGTCTCTCCAGCCTCTACTTGCCCCTCCCCTCCCAGCCACTCCTCGCCTGCCTGCCCAGGCTCTTTAGGGCCCAACAGGAAGCAGTTGTTGGAACTAAGCAGCCACCATGAGAAAGAATTGGCAAAACAGCTGTCTCAGTTCAAATTGGATCTGGCTGAGAAGGCGGCTCAGCAGAAGCACCTCACTGAGGACTACGAGCAAAGGTTTTCCAAGCAGAGGGAAGACCTGTGGGAGTGCAAGGCTAGATACTGGTGCCTGGAGGCTCAGCGGGCTGAGATGGTCAGCCAGTTCCAGGCCATGATGCAGTCCCAATGGAACAAGGTCCTCCAGCTCCCCGAAGGGGGAGACTCTCTGCAGCAACACAAACGTTCATTGCACGTATCCGGCCCAGGGGCTGTATTTGAGGACCCCTGATTTAGTGCAGTATAAAAAATGCAAATAATTTTTCTGCGGGCCACCAAAATTTTCTCATGGACCATCAGTTGGTGACCGCTGGACTAGAAGACCTCCAAGATCCCTTCCAACTCTTCCCTTCCCTTCCCTTCCCTTCCCTTCCCTTCCCTTCCCTTCCCTTCCCTTCCCTTCCCCTTCCCTTCCCTTCCCTTCCCTTCCCCTTCCCTTCCCTTCCCTTCCCTTCCCTTCCCTTCCCTTTTCTTCTCTTCTCTTCTAGATAAAGTACTCACTTTTGAATTGCTAGGTAGGCAGGAACTGGAGTGAGCAATGGGGGTTCACCCCATCACAGCAGCACTTGGGTCTAGAATGTGGGCTTGCTAATTGTCCCAACCACATGTGTCACCACAGTCCACCTAATACACTAAGTGTACTTTATTGCAAAGATGCGTTCACAGAATCTTGCAAATCTGAAAGTACAGTTCTCCTACTGTGTCTTTTGTAGCCCAATAATTAAAGATAGTCGCTCTTGAGCCTCTTGCTCAATCCACGATGCAACTGTGGGCTATGCTCCCTCTTATCTGACCATTCTCTCAGGGGGAGAATGGTCTTTTTGCCCAATCTCCCAAGTTCCTTCACACTACGCATTACATCACTTTAGATGCTGGGCAAGTTACAGATACTATAATTCCAATCTCCACCTAGCACTGCCATTTCCTATCTCTCTTTATTTGTTCAATTTTATGCTTCAGTGTAGAAGTCATAAATCCAAATAGTACCCAACATGGCATTGCATATTCTTGTGGAACACCTTTAAGAATTTGTGGCCTGGTCCTCCCTATCTGCTGTATATAGTTCTCCCCTCCCCCCCATGGTTTAGGCTTGAGAGTACTTGCTCCACTGACCAGCATTTGTCTATTCTGGGCACTGTTTCATTCTGATTATTTCCTGCTGTATAATTAACTAGCAACACAAGTGAAGTGATTCTGAAGATAGATGATTGAAAATTTCTCCCCAATTACATTCCTGTGGTGGTTGTAGCCTTTGCACGTCTCACTATTGTGACATTTTGTTCCACATGCTAAATTCTAAGCTCAAAAGTTTGATGAAACTTGTTTTATTTATTTCCTTTTAAGGTGAAATCTAGGTGTCAGGAGATGAATGCACTGACTGGCTGCAGTGCTGTAGGCTTGTATTCTTCATGCTCAAGTAAGTCAACCTTAACCTTAATATCATTCTGAGAGAGTTTCTCTTTTCTTATCTATCGAAAAGTTCTTAGCATGTTTATTTGAAATGACACCTGAGGCCTGAACTCTCTCTATTTCTTAGTCCTCCCCCCCCACCCCCTGACTCCCAGTCTATTCTACACAAATCATCTCTGCAAATCTCTGGAGGCAATTTGATCCTGCAAGTCTTCAGGTTCAATTGGCAAGCCAACAGATAAGAGTGAATGCACTGCAGATAAGCATCCAGCTTTGAATTCTTATCCAGTCTTTTGGAGTTAGGCTCATCATCAGTTTTCTAAAGGTTTTCAAGTGCCATCCTCTGCACCAATTCCCAGTCCCAAATCAATCAGTTTTCAGCCTCATTTTATATTCAACAAATGTGGAGAACCTCTTGATTGCTGACATTCTTTTCCCCACTTTTCCCCCTCCCACCACTTTTCATTCAGATTGCAACTATTTTTTTTTAAATGAATTCTTCCAACCACCTGGCTAGATTGGAGAGAGTTGATTTATAAACAGTGGCCAGGTTATGGGATTCCCACTTTTTTTTTTTGCAATAAAATGCAGCATGAAAGGACAAATGTACTTGTTCAGCTATCTTCATTATGATAAATTATTTTAAATCAAATCACAACCAGATAGACTGGTTTGAGAGCTGCTTGACATTCTGAATATATTGCTTTGTTTTATAAACCTTTTAGCAATTGGCCATAAATATGTTGCAGCTAAGGAGTACTGCATCTTTAAGTATATTAAATGCAGTCTTCTGTGACCAAACATAATAGGATTTTTAAATGAATTTTAATTGCAGTACTTAACAAACAACTTTTTAAACTTTCAACATGTGCAAGGTTTTTTGAAACTGGCCAATTCAAATTAAATCTGGACAAATAAACTTCTTATTTGATAGCATAGTTGCAAGATGATATCACTTGTCAATGTCACATATATGGATAAACAATATAAATATGTAGGGTTTAAATTTAAATCCCCTCAACAAAGGTTTTCAAAGACAAAGAAATGCAGTAAATCTGAGGTCTGCATAAGGTCACTATGATTTTGTTCTGCACTTTGAAAGCTTAATATAAATATGCTTATGGATATAATCACACTGCTTTGATCCAGATAAATTTAAACAAGAACGATAGAAAACAAACAAATTAAAGAATAAAAAGAACACAATCAGATCTGCATTACAGCTAAGTTTGTTTTCAGCATATTCATTTAAATCAGAAACCATTAATAGCAAAGCCCATATGGAAATTTAAAAGCAATTTTCTGATTGGCGTAACTAATTTATTCAAAGAAGAAAGAAACAATCCCTTAGACTAGTAAAGTAGTACTTTGGATTGTGGCCTGTAATATATATGCTGTGCTACACTAAAAACTTCATATTTGAGAGAATAAATAAACTATGGCTTGTTTGCTGAAGTTTGTTTATTTTTAGCAAGAAAGAAAATGTATAAACCAAGAGGCAGCAATGCAACATTGAAAAAATTACCTTTTAGCTGTGGTGTTTCTTATGTCTAATGACAGAGTTTTGCCATTAAAAAGGTGAGGTTGCCAATGCTATGAAGGGAAAGAACAACGAGTGTTGGAAGATGATATTATGAGTGCTATATGAGTTGGAACCTCCTCTGATATCCTAAGGGTGAGCCTGCTTGTCAGGCCTGGAAGCCATCTTTTCTATTCTTTTTTTTTTTTTTTTAATTGCAAAAGTTTTACAATTACATTTTCACCCCTTTTTTCACCCCCCCACCTCCCTCCCCAAACTTCCCGTCCTCCCTAACCCTCCCTAACCCTCCCCCCCCAGACTTCCCTATTATGTACTCATAACTAATAACACTGATATATAAACCTGAACCCATCCCTCCCCCTATATAATTTTTCCTCTTTGTCTCTTTACATTAAGATATTTCTAATACATTATTTTCAAATAAAAGCTATTTGATACTTTCTAGTTTGGTATTTGTTCTGAACATATTCTATCCACCTTTTCCATTCCCATTCATAAGTCTCTTGTGAACAATCTTTTAAATATGCTGAGATCTTCGCCATCTCTGCAAAACTTGCCATCTTCAAAGTCCATTCCTCGATAGTAGGCAAAACTTCATTCTTCCAATATTTACCTATCAACAATCTTGCTGCTGTTATCATATACAATATTAGTTTTATTTCACCCTGTGTAAAACCCTTAACTATACCCAATAAAAACAATTGTGGAGAAAATTGAATTTTTTTCTTCAAAACATTCTGCATGACCCACCATATTTTTATCCAAAAAGCCTTAACTTTCCTACAGATCCACCAAACATGATAATACGTAGCATCCAAACATTCGCATCTCCAACATTTTGGCTGAACATTAGGGTACATACATGACAACTTTTTAGGATCTAAATGCCATCTATAAAACATTTTATAAAAATTTTCCCTCAGATTCTGCGACTGTGTAAATTTAACATTCTGAACCCAAATTTTTTCCCATGTTTCCAACATCACTGGTTCTTCAAAATTTTGTGCCCACTTAATCATACAATCTTTAACTAATTCAGTTTCTGAATCCCTTTCTAGCAAAACATTATAAAGCCTTTTAATATGCATTGGACCTTTCTCTCTTATATGTCTAACCAATTCTTCCTCATGCAACATAATACCAGTTTTTTGGTCCTCTTTCCATCTCAATTGTAATTGATTATATTGTAACCAGGTTAAATTAATCCCTTCGTCCAACAGTGTCTGCAATGTCTTCAGCTGCCATCTGCCCGCATCTGTAAAAAGAACCTCTTTGTATAAAAACCCCCCGAGTGACATTATATTTGTATTCCACAAGGTATGACCAAGATCCAGCCATAGCGGTATTTTATAATCCCATTTGAGTCGGTGCTTCTTCCAAACTCTCATCAAAGAGTCTCTAAGTATATGACTTTTAAATACTTTATCAACTTTATCATCATAAAATAGGTAAGCATGCCATCCAAATTCAAGATCAAAACTTTCTGCATTCAATATTCCAGCCTTTTACTTCCAAACCAATCACTTGTTAAAGTTAAAACTGCTGCATCATAATATAACTGTAGGTTTGGAAGTTTAAGGCCTCCTCTTTCTGGAACATCTTGCATAATTTTCAATTTCACTCTCGGCTTTTTCTCGTTCCAGACAAACTTATTAAGTCCAATTTGCCAAACTTTCAGTTGTTTATCACTTTTAAGCACCGGAATCATTTGAAACAAAAACAGAAATCTTGGCAAAATGTTCATCTTAACTGCTGCTATTCTTCCAAGTAAAGACAGTTGCAGCTTTTTCCAAGTCTCCATGTCTTTCTGGACCTCTCGCCACAACACCTCATAGTTATTTTGAAACAATTTCATGTTTGATTCTGCAACCTGAACTCCAAGATATTTTACCTTAGGTACAATTTTGAAACCTGCCCTCCTTTCAAGCTCATGTTTACGATCTTGTGTCATATTTTTAACTATCATTTTAGTCTTTTTTGAATTCAGTCTAAAACCTGAAACTCTACCATAGTCTTGTATAATGTCGTTCATCAGGATTGTTGATTCCATTGGTTGTGATAGGGTAACCACCAGATCATCTGCAAATGCCTTTATTCTATAATCCTCTTGCCTTATCATTATGCCTTTCAAAATTTTAGAGTCCCGTATTGTATTTAGCTAGACTTCCAATGTTAAAATAAATAAAAGTGGGGACAACGGACATCCCTGTCTTGTTCCTTTTTCAATTTTAAACTCTGTCGTCAAACTTCCATTAATAATAATCTGTGCTTTTTGCTCTTGATAAATTGCTGAGATCGCCTGTATAAATTGGTCCCCAAAGCCCATCTTTTTTAAAGTCTTTAGTAGAAAATTCCAATCCACTCTATCAAAGGCCTTCTCCGCATCCAAAAAAACCAGCACTGCAGAAATCTGTTTATTCTTATCAAGATATTCCAATAAGTCTATTACTTGCCTTACATTGTCCTTCATATATCTGCCCTCAATAAATCCCGCTTGGTCCGCATGAATCACCTTTTGGATTACTGGCATCAACCTGTTGGCTAATACCTTCGCATAAATTTTATAGTCTGTGTTCAAAAGAGATATTGGTCTGTAGTTCTCTGGTTTTTTAGGACCAACTTGTTCTTTTGGTATCAAAGATATATAAGCAGTTGTCCAAGATGGGGGTATTTTACCCCCTTGTTGAATATTGCAAAATAAATCTCTAAGTTGTCCCACCATTTCAGCTTGTAAAGTTTTGTAATACACTGCAGTCAAACCATCCGTGCCAGGAGCTTTGGCTGTTTTTAGCTGTTTTATTGCTGCTGTTATCTCCTCCTCTGTTATAGGATAATTCATTCTTTCCTTTTGTTGATCAGTAATTTTTGTAACTCTCTTATCCTTTAAATATTTTTCTATAAGTCCATTCTGCACCTCTTCTTTGGCATATAGTTTAGTATAATAATCCACAAAAGCTTCTTTAATTAGTTTTTGTTGAAAGATTTCTTTCCCTCCAATATCAATACTATCAATAATCCGTATACTTTGTTTTTTCCTCAATGTGTAAGCCAACCATCTGCCCGGTTTGTTAGCGTTGCAAAATGTATTATGCTTCACGTATTGTAAGCTTGTTGCAACTTGTTCCGCCATAAGCATTTGAAATTGGTCTTTCAAAAGTTTTATAGCACTTCGTATTCTTTCATCTGTTGGGTTTTTAATAAGTAACTGTTCTTTATTCTTTATTTCCATTTCCAACTCAGATCTTTTCTTTTGTCGGAACAGTCTATGTTTAGAATTCATGTAGATAAGTACCCCTCTCATATAAGCTTTACTTGCGTCCCAAACAATTTCAATTGGGGTACCTTTATTCAAATTTATTTCAAAAAATTCTTTCAAATGCTTTTTAAGTTCTATTGTATTTTTTTCATATCTAAACAAGTTCTCATTTCATCTCCAAGAACGTCTCTCAACCTTATCCATCTCAATT